TTCCTTCCTTCCTTCCTTCCTTCCTTCCTTCCTTCCTTCCTTCCTTCCTTCCTTCCCTTCTTTAGGAGGAGTATTATTTTATTTCATTAAGAAACTGTCCTATTTGTCTTAAGTGTCCAAGTTACACTCAGCGAGTTCTGTGAGGGCACATCACATGTGCTTTTTTTCTCTCTTTGAGACCAATTTTTTATGTAAAACAATCTTTATTTTTACTTATTTATTTGACAAAAATGGTATATATTTAAGGTGTACATGTTTTGATACACATATGCATTTTGAAAAGATTACCACAGTCAAACTAATTAACATATTCATCATCTCGCATTGTTACTTTTTATGTGTAGCAGGGGTGTGCATGTGTGTATGGTGAGAACACTTAAGATCTCTATTCTCAGCAAATTTCAAGTATGCAACACAGTATTATTAACTGCAGTTCCCACGCTATACATTAGATCTATAAAACTTACCTTGCGTATGGAAACTCTGTACCCTTTGATCAATATCTACCCCACCCCCGCAGATCCTGACAACCACCATTCTACTCTCTGCTTTTATGAGTTCAGCAGTCTTAGACGCCACATATAAATGAGCCCTGCAGTATCTTTCTGTGTCTGGCTTATTTCACTTACCAAATGTCCTCCAGGGTGATCCATGGTGTTGAAAATGGCAGGATTTCCTTTTCTCTCATGGCTGAATAATATTTCATTGTGCGTGTGTGTATATATATACACATATATATACACACATAAAATATAATGTGTGTGTGTGTATATATATATTTTTTTTTCTTCATTTGTCTATCCATCGGTGGACATTTAGGTTGTCCACACCATTTCTATAATGTTACCTTCCCCCTAACAGTGCATGTCCTCCACATCCATTTCTCCACATCCTCACCAACATGTGTTATTAATTCTTCCAACCCATGAACACAGGCTATCTTTCCATTTATTTGTATCTTTAATTTCTTTCATCAATATTTTACAGTTTTCAGTGCACATGTCTTTCACCTCCTTGGTTAAATTTATTCCTAAGTATTTTCTTCTTTTTGACATTATTGCAAATGAGGTTATTTTTAATTGAGATAAAATGAGTGTATGACATTATGTAGTTTCAGGTGTGCCACACTATAATTCGATACTTGTGTATACTGCAAGTGATCACCACTATAAGTCTAGTTACAATCCATCACCATACAGTTGAGCCCCTTCACCCATTTCGCCCACTCCCCACCCCCCTTTCCCTCTGGGAACCACAAATCTGTTCTCTGTCTCTATGAGTTTATTTTTGTTTTGTTTGTTCATTTGTTTTGGTTTTTAGAGTCCACATATAAGTGAAATCATGTGATATTTGTCTTTCTCTGTCTGATTTATTTCACTTAGAATAATACCCTCAAGGTTCATCCATGTTGTTGCAAATGGCAAGATTTCTTTCTTTTTGACGGCTAAGTAGTATTCCTGTGTGTGTGTGTGTGTGTGTGTGTGTGTGTGTGTGTGTGTGTGTACCACATTTTCTTTATCCATTCATCCATTGGTAGACACTTAGGTTGTTTCCACATGTTGACTATTATAAATAATGCTGCAATGACCTTGGGGGTGCATATATCTTCTTGGTGTTTTTGTGTTCTTTGAATAAATACCCAGAAGTGGAATAGCTGGATCATATGGTAATTGTATTTTTAATTTTTAAAAAGATTTTATTTATTTATTTAGGAGAGAGACAAGGAGAGAGAGCTCATGGAGAGGAGCAGAAGGGGAGGGAGAGGGACAAGCAGACTCCATGCTGAGCACTGAGTCTGATGCGGGTGACCCTGAGATCGGACCTGAATCAAAACCAAAAGTTGGCCATTAACCTATTGAGCCACTCAGGCACCCTATTTTTAATTTTCTGAGAAATCTCTATATTCTTTTCAATATTGCCTGCACCAATTTACATTCTTATTGGCAGTGTAAAAGTGTTCCCTTGTTGCCACATCCTCTCCAACACTTGGTATTTCTTGTCTTTTTGAGAATAGCCATTGTGGCAGGTGTGAGGTGATATCTCATTACAGTTTTAATTTGCATTTCCCTGATGGTGAGTGATGTTGAGCATCTTTTCATTGTATTTATTGGCCATCTATAGAGATTTTCTTAATGTCTTTTTCCAATACTGTGTTGCTAGTGTATAGAAATGGAACTGATTTTTTTTTTGTATGTTGATTTTGTATCCTGCAACTTTACTGCAATCATTAGTTTTAACAGGTTTTTGGTGGAGTCTTTTGGGGTTTCTATATATAAGATCATGTCATCTGCAAACAGATTATTTTACTTCATTTTTCTGACTTGAATGCCCTTTATTTATTTTTTCCTGACTAAGTGCTCTGACTAGGGCTTCCAATACTATGTCAGATAGAAGTGGTGAGAGTGGATGTCTTTGTCTTTTACCGATCTTAGAGGAAAAACTTTCAGCTTTTCATTGTTAGGTGTTATGTTAGCTGTGGACTAGTTCTACATCACATCACATGTGCTTTAACTTAGGAAAATTCCACTGGATATTCTCAGCCAAAAAAAGATAACAAAGCATCACAACTTACAGCAGTTCAACATATTATAAAATATTTTATATTTTTTTTTCAAAAAAGATAGACTACTGTATACTTTATACTTCTATGCGTACGTCTTGCTTAATAGGATTGCATTCAGAAAGCTATGTATACTGTTCTTTCTGAATGATTGAAGGAATAGTCAAGGACATTTTTGATTCTAGGCATTTCTTTGGCTGACCTCAGAGCTCAACTCCCACATGAAATTCAATCCCCGTACTATCCTTACAGGGGGTATTATCTCTCCATGGTCCCGAAAGGACAGTTGCTGTGGCTTCTCTAAATACCTGCGTTGCTTTTGTTTCCTAGTGAGAGATTTTCAAGTCAACATTTCAGCTGAGAGCACGTTTACTACAGGGAAATCCTTAGAACTGGTCTGCCTGGTCGTAGGCAGTGGCCGGGACCCACAGCTTCAGGGCGTTTGGTTCTTCAATGGTAATGAGATGGCCCGCATGGATGCTGGGGGTGTTCTGGACCTGAAGGGAGACTACAGACAGAGAGCAAGTCAAGGACAGCTCCAGGTTTCAAAGTTAACCCCCAAGGCTTTCTCTCTCAAGATCTTCTCTGCGGGCCCCGAGGATGAAGGCGCCTACAGATGTGCTGTGGCGGAGATGGCAAGAGCTCAGATGGGCTCCTGGCAGGTGCTTCAGAGCAAGCAGTCACCAGACAGCCATGTGCATCTGAGGAAACCAGCAGGTACGTGAAGTCAGAACCAGACATGCCTGGGCTGCCCTCCGCTTCCCTCCTTTGTGAGTACAGGCTGCCTCCCTGGACACAGTGGACTTCCCCTGAAGAGTCGGGTGTCAGTCAGATCACTCTGAGGTGGAGTAAAGAAAAGCAACCAAACTAACTGAAGACTTAAGTCTTATTCCGGGGCCATTAAATGGGCTATGACCACAGACACAACATTTAACTTCTTTAAATCTCAGCTTCCTCAAATATAAAATAATTACATACGACTAGATTGTCCTGAGGTCCCTTCTTGCTGTCTTAGATCCTTTGATTCTATTTGCGATCAGTCCTCGTTTTTGTACGTTGGGTTTTTCTCCGAACAGAAAACACGTGCGTTAATGAAACCCTCTATCTTCTCTTTGTTGTCTGTGTGGTGTGAGTATGGTAAGAGGAAAGAATGACACTTTGCCTCCTTCCTGGGGATCAAACACCTACATTATGGCCCCTGCCCCCAAACATCTTTCAGATGCCTTTTGTCCATCCTCTATCATCTTAACCTGATACAGGGAATGATAGTATGTCTTAATTCTGCATCAAAGCATGACTCAGAATAAGGAATGAAGAGGTCAATGATAGCAGGCAGACTCTATCCCCTGCATTTGGCTGTAATGTGATGTGCCTGTCCAAACGGGTCTGAGTATCTATGGGCATGAAAGTGGAAGGCCACTCAGCTCTCGTTTCAAGTTTATGAAGGTTGGATGACCTTAAACATGTTTGAACACTCAGTGCTTTTTGTTTGAAGAGAGAACAGACAAATCTACAACTGATATTAGGATGCTCTGGTCCGGGTATTATATTCAAAGTCTAGAAAGATTAACTGCCCAAGAGCACAAAACAAAACCCAACTAAAAATAAAGATACCCTTGTTTCACTTGCTCACTGGCAGCATCTCCAAAGATAGATAGATTTCCCTTTCATGCTCTTCTCTGGCACCCCATTTGCCAGCAATGAAGACACACAAACTTTGGCCTAGAGTGGCACGCCAGGAAGGGTGCTGGTGTTAGTTTTCACACTAAACATTTGGTCTAACTTTCTAGGATTCAGGAAGAACTGTGTAGGCGGGTTTACATATTTACACAGAGCTAAATCTTGGCTTCATTCACCTCAGTCTCTGCTGAGACATGTCTGTAAACCTTTCTTAAATCCAGCATATGGGAATCTGTGCCAAAGGGAACTGAAGGTGTGCTTTGTGACCCACAGATCATAAGCCCATCAGTAGGGTGGTCTTCTAAAGCTAAAAAGAGCTCATTGGGTAGGCTGGAGTCCAAACTGGGCCTGATATGTGGAAACAGAAAAAGCTATTAGCAAATTTATTAAGGATCCCGTTGAGCATTCAGTTTTGAAAGTCAAACCAAAGTATGAGCAGAGTTTTATCATGAAATTCATATTTTATGAATATTTTAAACAGAAGAGGTTAGTCACTACCACTGTGGATGTGTAACTTACACACACTTGATAAGATTATTACTTCTTACCAAAGGCAGTAAGGACTGTAATGAACCAAGGAAACCTCATTTGTTTCTTTAAAAAAAAAACAAAAACTGATGTTAGTTGAAACTAACCATAATGGTTATATTCAAGTAGTGAGATTATGAGCAATAATTTCCTCTTTATTTTCTCAACTTCAGTTATGAGTCTATTTTTAACTTGAAAAGAACTTGAAGTATAATCCTGCCTCCACTCCCCAAAACCTGGAAGCAAGTTTACATATGTAGATACAGATATAGATGTATAATATTAAATATTATTTAACTAATAATTATTTAATTATTAAATAAGAATTATTGAATTATTTAGTAGTATTATTAGATAATTAAAATATTAAATACATGTATTAAAGTTACTTGTGGACATCAAGCTTCATTCTGCCTTTGTAACTTATTATATACATAATATACATAGAGCAGGAGAAGGCTCAACTCCTTCCTCAGCAGGGAAGAACAATTTGCAAATTCATTTAGATCTTATTTAGATTTCTCATCCCAATTCCATTTTGTTTTCTCTCTTGGCTTTGAACTACCTCACTTTCACTAAGTGCCTATCATTACAACCAATGCTAATAACTCCCATGTACTGGGTACTTTCCCTTGCCAGCCAGGCTAAGCCCTTTGGCATGTACCACTTTTACTCATCCCAACAATGCAATAAGGTTGGTGCCATTATTATGTTCGTATATACAGGAAAGAAAATCAAGGGTCAGGGAGGACAACTGTGTTGCCCAAGATAAATTCTGACTCCCAGGACGTTGGCCTTAAAGGTGAGATGCCTGAGCTATGGAGGTGTCTTTGCTTTGCCCGCAAAGCACCCAGGACAAAGCCTTGCACAGGAAGTATCTGTTGAATGAATGTTTGCGTTTCTACGTATCTTGAATTTCCCATCTGGGAGCCAGATTTATATTTTGTAGTTTAACATTATAGTTCAGATATAAGTAGGATCTCTCTTCAACCAATAGTGTGTTTATATATATATGAATATGTGATTTGAAAAAGAGAAATATATCTATATGTGTATTTTCCCCCAAGTAATTGTTTTTAATGTTGGTATTTTGTTTGTTGTTGTTGTTTAAATAAACTCTGCAACCAACATGGGCCTCGAACTCATGACCCTGAGATCAAGAGTTGCATGCTCTATGGACTGAGCCAGCCGGGTGCCCCAATGGTAGTTTTTGAACAGAAATCTAATTACCAATACTCCTTTCCTGTTCAAAACACATACTAATTAGGGAAAGATAAGTAGGCAGAGGAATATCATTTTGATCTGTGAAAGATAAAATTCCAAAAAACTAAAAATTTAAATAAACACAGTTTCATTATTTTCAGGGTTATACACCCACCCTAATTAATCTAACAAAATATTACCAGATGCTTTCCCAACTAGATGTTCTTAATGAAGGGCTGATTTAACAAATCACTAAAAATAAGGGCAAATTATAAATTGTTTAAGTGTAAATAAGTTCACCTGATAGTCTTTCTGCTGTCTTGTTCCCACTATGTAAGTGTTTAGCAAATCTCTTTTCCGGGGGTGGTAAGAGCAGTCAACAGCCCAATCTGATTTGTCACAAACTAGTCAAGGCTTAATTAAAGAGATTTCACCATGTTTTAGAAAAATTTTCATTGACTTGGAATACTTTTTCTTTTCCTCTCAAATCTGTAATCCACAGCAAGAAATGTGGTCTTATCTACCAAGAACCAGCAGCAAGCCGTGTGGGAAGGAGAGGCATTAACCCTTCTCTGCAAGGCAGATGGGGCTGAGAGTCCCTTGTCTGTGGAATGGTGGCATCTTCCACAAGGCCAGAAGCAGCCAGAGTTGATGGCTGGCATGCAGCAGGATGGCACCGTGCAGCTGGGGGCCTCCTACAAGGAACTCAATAACCAGGGCTCCACAAGGCTGGAGAAAATGGACTGGGCTACCTTCCAGCTGGAGATCAGCTCCACCAGCACCACAGACAGTGGCATGTATGAGTGCAGAGTGTCTGAGGGCACCCGGAACCAGGCCAGAGGGCGGAGCTGGACTCAGAAGTTGGCCATCACTGTCAAATCTCTGGGTAAAGGTCAAAGAAATCCTGTTCTAAACTTACATATATCAATGGTACCTTCCTGGGCAGTGGGAAGCAGTGGAATTTGATTGTGTGTCGACCCGAACCCCCTCGTTGTAGAACGTACACCCCAGGACACAGAGCGTAGTCTCTGGCTGCCAGGTCTGTCAGCCAATCTCTAAAGTTTACTCATCTTTATAAGGATCATCCGTAGGGTGCCACTTGTCGGTTGTTAGTCAAAACTAAACGCGAAAGCCTATGAGCTGGAGTAGACATATAGAGGACCTGTGCCCAGTGGAGCTGAGCCTCGTACATCCAGGCTTCTAGAGCTGCAGCCCTGGGCTTGCAGAGTCTCTTCAAGCCTGTGCAAAAGAGTGATGCTGAGCCCATGAGTGGAAATAAGGGGAGACCAGCCACTGGTGGGGGGGGTGGCGGGGGTAGGGAGGGGAGAGCACTCCACCCACTCAGTAGCAGCTGTCTAAGCAGCAGGCTGGAGAAACACTTCCTGTTTGTTGTCACTGCTGGGAGCGCTCTTAGAAGAGGATCAACTTTGGAAAATTTGAGGACAGAATTCAGGACAGACCGTACTGTGAGTCAACTCTGAGCCCCAAATAGTTGATGCTCCCAGTGTATGAATGCATGGCTCCATGTGAAGAGGTGGTCAGTAGGAAAACTTTGATTTGATAAACATATTGTCAATGGTGTTTCCCATTTATTTCTGCCCACAGAGTCAAGTTTATGGGTTAAGCTGATGAGCCGTCAACCCAAAGTGGAATTAGCCAAGACCTTTGGCCTGTCCTGCATAGTGGAGGCTGACTATGCCAACCTCAGGGTGCCACTCACCGTGACATGGCAGTTCCAACCAGCAAGATCTCAAGTCTTTCATCCGCTTGTTCGAATCACCCATAATGGCACTATTGAGTGGGGGGATTTCCTATCTCAGTTCCAAAAGAAGACGAAAGTTTTACAGTCCTCGTTTCATTCTCAGCTCCTAATTCATGATGCCACTGAGGAAGAAGCAGGAGTTTATCAGTGTAAAGTAGAAGTTTACGTCAGAAATTCCCTATGCACAAGCGGCCCTGTGAGGGCTTCTGCCGTCTCTCACTCACTGATGATAGCCATCACTTTACCAGGTAAACACCACTGGAAAGTAATCCCTGCTTTAAAAACAAATGAACACATTTCTCCTATTTTGGGTAAATTATGGAATTAAAATATAACATACCTTCCCCCATGTTTTGACTGTATAAGTTAACGCCATGTAAAACCAATGGCCAGGCTAACATGAAGTTAGTACGCATGGGACAGCCATACTGGTTGTTAAAACACTGACATACTTCCACACTGACTACTAACAACTGTTGCTCCATGCCCCTTCCCCCTCTTCCCAAAAGTCCCCACCACCCAGCAACTGAAAATTACCACATGGCACAACAGGGGGCTTCTCGGACCAGCTCGTGTAGGGAGGGAGGCATTCTTCGGATTGGTCACTGCTCGTGCTTTACTAGTCATTAAATGTTTGGAATGTCTCCCCTACTGGTAAGGATAATGTCAATTCCATTAGAATACATTTATCCTCTTGGTTTAACATGTTAATGTATAAGAGAGAATATCTGATTATAGTCAAATATAATTTACCTCATCAGTTGGTGTAAGAGCAGAGACACAACCTGGGCAAAGTCCTGCTGGGTCACGTATCTTCTTCTATGACTTCCGTTCTCTAAAGACATTGTGTTTAAGAGCCTTTGAAGTCATTTCTACCTGACAGGCACTGGCGAGTGGCTTAGCTTTGGGCAAATCACTCAATCTGTCCAAGTCTAGGGACTTCATCCCTAAATTGCTGTTCTGCACTGTGGTGACATATGTAATGTGCCTAGGACAGTGCCTGACGCATCAAGCAGATGCTCAGACATGGTAGCAGCCATTATTCTTTCTGCTGCTGAGTGACATTTTCGGTAATTGTAACAATCTCCTTGTTGATTAACTCATGTCTTAATTGCCTTGTCCTTCCCATGGTATTTAAAATTGTTGACCCAATCCTTTCTTCTTGAAACTTCCTTTTTCCTTGGCCTCATGACGCAAGATTTTCTTGGTTTCTTTCCTAACACTCTGTTTCTTCTCATTCTCTTTTGCAGAATTCTCCTCCTTCACAGATCCATTCCTTTGCATTTCAGCCTTAGCTTGCTCTCTTCTCATTCCATACAGTCTCCTGAAGTGGGCTTATTCCTCCCCCTGGTTCAACCTATATACTGACAACGCTCAAATCCATTATCCTGAAAGACTTCTCTTTTCATCTCCAGACTCGTTATACAATTATCTCCAAGGCATATCTACACTCAGTAAGTCCAAACATAAATGCACTATTCTTATTCTTCCAAATCTACTCCTCCTACACTGTTCTCCATGTCCTCACGATCCACCAGTGGGCAAGGTGAGAAACCACAACACCTCCATATCCACCTCATCCAAACTCCCATAGCACAGCCTGCAAGATCCTTTATAACCTGGTACATTTATGTCTTTCCAGTGTCATCTTCCACTTTCCATCTTGAATTTGAGCTCTGGCCATGCTGAACTACTTGCAAGCCCTCAAATACTCTGTGTTCTCTCTCACTTCCAGTCTTTGTTCAAGTCATGGGTTTTGTGTGGAACTCTTTAACCTCCTCTCCACCAGACAAATTCCTATTAACTCTTAAGACTTAGCTTCAAGATCTCTGCTCCAGGAAGCCTCCCCCTACTCCCATATTTGAGTTAGAGGTCCTACCCTGTGCTCGGACAGCCACTTCTGCATACCTCTGTCACACTTGGCTGATACAGTCTCATAATTTGTAGGCCTCTGTGCCTGTACTAGTTTCTCCCTCTAGACTGTGAACCCACTGATGGGAGGTATCCACAGAGCCAGGAATGGTCTGGCACATAACACAATGTGTGCTTGATACATATTTGCTGAAGGAAGAGGAAAGGGACCTACCAGCAACTTTAAGGAGCAGTTACAAAAATAGAATTAATGATATCAGCAAGAAGTTAGAATAAGGTTTGGAAGGCAGGTTGTATCATTCATCTTCCTGACAGAGCAGAAAAGCTTCTGGAGTAAAAGGTTAGTTGACTCCATATCTGTATAAGATTCCCACAGTTGACTGGCTGCAAAGAGACATGCAATTTTAGTAGCCCACATACAACTTCCTTTTGCTTACCCATGTTTGAAGGCAGATACAAACAAGGACATGTCAGTGAATTGTGAATCCAGGAGTATTCCAGAGAGTGAGCACACAGACAAAGCATTAATAGGGCCACTTTCTCTCACTTTGATTTATGAAATGTGACAGAAGAGAAGAAGTCTATGCTTTGACAGTGAGGCATTATCATGTGGAAGAGATTGGTTTTCTGTATGACACTCCATCCTGCCCCATGTTCCCTATCCCACTCTGCCGGGTAAGGGTAGAACCAGGACCAGTGACTGGAAGGTAGGGAGTGGTAAAATCCCACTTGATATCAGAAAAAATTCTCTAGTGGCAGAGATGTCCAAAGATGGAATGGGCTGCTTTGTCAGTTGGTGAGCTGTTCAGAAGCTCAGTGGGCAGTTAGTGGGGCTGCTGGGAAAGGAATTCACACATCCAATGGATGTAGGAGACATTGCCTCATGCCTAGTTGACCTCTAATGTCCCTTCTACCTTAAAATTCTATTTTCTAGCGAAATAAAAAAAGTCACTGTCACCATTCTTTTAATTTAGAAAGCAAGCTACAAGTGAACTCAAGCAGTCAAGTCCAAGAGATCCTCATCAACTCCAACACCAACATAGAATGTAGCATCTTGTCCCGGTCCACTGGAGACCTTCAATTAGCTGTCATTTGGTACTTCTCTCCCAGTTCCACTAAAGCAACCTGGCTGAAGATCCTGCAAATAGACAAAAACAATGTTGTAAAATATGGGGATGAATTTCACACCCTACGGAGAAAACAAAAATTCTACCCCGAAAAAGTTTCCCAAGACATGTTTCAGCTACATGTTTTGAACATGGAAGACAGTGATCAGGGCAAATACCACTGCGCTGTGGAGGAATGGCTCTTGTCTACAAATGGCACTTGGCTCAAGCTTGGAGAAAAGAAGTCAGGTCTGACAGAATTGAAACTCAGGTCCACAGGTAAACCTCACAAGTGTATCCTCACATGTCTTTCTGTAGGATTGCCAACTTCTCTGGGGCAGCTCTTCTTTGGAGTGGATATGTGAAAGTAGAAATATGACCCAGGGTCATAGGAATAGTGTCCACCTACACAACGAATGCAGGACCTAGTAGCCCAGCAGAGGAGGCGGGTGTCACTTAAGGTGAATCAATCTGAGGCTTTGAGGAGCTTGGATGGGAACAAGATCCCATTGATTGGTTTGCTTATCAGACTGGCAGCCTGGTCTATGGAGCTACCCTGGGTGTCGTATCTCTAGATCTCTGTAATACCAAGCTGTGTCATTCCAGTGGGGCTCTACTGTAATTTGGCAAAGAAAGAGTAATACAAAGCATATTTCTCCCACTGTGAACAGAAACTGTACAACTCTATAGGGATGTGTGGAGAAATTGCTTTTCAACATTTGGCTGCCTAAACATAAGGTGAATAAGAGTAGTTAACTGTTGGAATGGCTTACTGAGGGAGTCTCCTCTTCCTCAAGAGATCTTTAAAAATGTAATAGAGGTTCCATCCATTTGCATTGGTCTAGGAGTGCTGCAGTTTAAATGTGGGCAGGGTTGATTAGATCTCTGGGTATTATTTAGGTCACCTCCAATGTTGATTAAAATTAAATGAATGTCACAGCTAAGGTTTGAGAACTGGCTGAGATCCAACAGCACAATGCAAATACGTTAATCTAGTTTGGTGCTTAAAATTTTATTTTCTATGTAACATCCAAAAATAAGATTATAATGAACATCGCTGTGTATTAGACAATTAGAGATACAAAGAGAAATAAGGCACAGCTCTTGCCTTAAGGAGCTTACAATCTGTTGGGGGCAGCAGAGCAAAACAGTAACTTAGCATAAGGATCTCTTCCTGCTGCTCTGGTTCCCCTTCTTCACATTCTTCAGGCACTTCTTCTTCCTGCTAAATGTGGGTGTTCCTCAGGGACAGATCCTGGACCCCTTTGTCTTATTATTCTCTGCCCTCTTCAGAACTTCTTAAATTCTGCCTTGGTTTCAACTACCACCTTTGATGAAATTGCTCTAAGTCTTTACACTTAGCTCCAGGTCTTTCAACCCAACTGCCTGTTATACATTTCTACTTGGAAGCCCCTGAGACCCTTACACTCAGCATGTCCCAAATTGCATTATCATCCTTGCCATTCCACAAGACTCATGCATACTTCTGCACTCTCCATCTATGTGGCTAGCAGCCCTTTGTCCCAGTTGCCCAAGCCAAATCTCGACAGTGTATGCACATCCCTTTAAGGAGGCAGCCACTCCTAGGCTCAAGCTAGCAAACACTTCCCATCCAGAAATGTGGGCTCAGTGTTGTCTGATCTTTTAGTCTATCAAGAAGTGCCTAAAATCTTTTTTGTGTGACATTGCTCGATTTGAGAATGTACGCTACTAATCCAAACTCTTTTCAGATTCTGAGGGTGTCAAACAAAACATAGCTGTGGGTGGGGTGTGGCTGGCTGGGGGTGGCCAGCTGTGCACCCTGGTGTAGGGTATGATTTAAGGAAGAGGTCCCAGAGAAAGATACTGAGAAGGAGTGGTCAGAATTGTAGGAGAGACATTTTCTCTGAAATCAAAAGAGGAGAGGACTTCAAGAAAAAATAGACTTCAGGGATAAAACCCACAGAGAGGACAACAAAATGAGAGTGTCTTGAGCTGGGAAATTGGGCCCATACTGAGGATCTTGGCCAGAGCATGGTGTTGGAATTGGAAGGCTGATTGCAGTCAAGTAGGGAGGAATTTGAGTTGAGGAAACAGAGACAGTATCATATAAACTAATATTTCACATACTTTGCCATGAAGAGAAGGAGAGAGTAACAACAACAACAAATCCAGGATCAAAGTTATTCTTTTATTTATTTTTAATTTTTTAAAAGATAGCTATTTATTTATTTATTTATTTATTTATTTATTTATTTATTTGAGAGAGAGAGCACGAACAGGGGGAAGGGCAGAGGGAGAGAGAGAAGCAGACTCCCTGCTACGCAGGGAGACCCTGGGATCATGACCTGAGCTGAAGGCAGATGCTTAACCAACTGAACCATCCAGGCACCGCAAAGTTATTCTTTTAAAGATAGATTAATAAATGTGTTTGTGGTAGAGTTGAAAATTTAGTGTATAGTATAATTTCTTTATTTTGTTTGTAACTACTCTGGACTTCATTCAAAGTTCTCACCTGCTAGTTAGGAGGGGAACTTTTTAAAAAAGTAAATGTCAAAATCTGTTTAAAACTTAGTCAACTGGTGAATCGTTGAACACTACATCAAAAACTAATGATAAGTTGGCTAACTGAACATAATAAAAAAAAAAACTTAGTCTAATCCGATAATTTAAAGTCTCTCCTTGAGTGGTATTCTAACACTTGTATGAAAATATTCAGTCTCTCGGATAGCCTCCTCTTTCCTTTCATCTAGAACGGAGATGATATCTGGGCATATGGGAGGAGGGTAATTTGCTAGGAATGAGGGGCAGTGGTGCAATACCCAGCTTGAGGGGATGGTTGGAAGTTTTGAATGATCCCTCTGGGAAGTAGAAGAAAAAGTTGACCAGGGAGGGGTAAAAGCAGCAGGGCAGAGTGCCTACTGAACCTGGGTGGTTTCAGGGGCAGGTTTTCAGCAGACAAGAGGTAGGGCTGAAGAAGGAAAATGGTTGGTTTGATTCATAGCACAGAATGTTCTAGCAAATATGGAAGAAGGATGGCGGTCAAGGAAAAAATGTTACAGATGAAAGACCTGATGTCTTAGGATTTTAAGATGGCATCTCCTCAGTGAGAACTAGATTTTTCAGAGGAGGTATCCAATCTAAAAATCTAGATTTGTCTTTAATTTATTGACATTTTATTTCCTAGGAAGTAAGGTACGTGTTTCCAAAGGGTACAAGACAGAAAATGCTACTGAGCACGGAGAAGTGGCCATCCACTGCAGCCTGGAGAGTTCTGGCAGCTCAGCTTCCCTGTTCTCTGTGATGTGGTACCAGAACAGGGAAAATTCTGGAAGGAAGATGCTGGTGCACTTGCAGCATGATGGCTTGTTGGAGTATGGTGAAGAGGGGCTCAGGAGCCATCTGCACTCTTACCGTTCATCCCCTACAGACTTTGTCCTGAAGCTTCATCGGGTAGAGATGGAGGATGCTGGGCTCTACTGGTGCAGGGTGACAGAGTGGCAGCTGCATGGCAGTCCAAGCAAGTGGGTCAACCAAGCATCAGATGAGTCACAGCATATGGTGCTCACGGTGCTGCCTTCAGGTAACGAGGGGCTAATCTGTCCTGGCTCGTGGTCAGGAGAATCTTTGTCTCCCTTCTTGTGCTTTCCCTCTCCGCTATGTTTTGCTGAAAGCATTTACGGATTCCCTAAAGAGAGTGACTCTATCATTTCTCTCAATCGTAATTTCCATTTCTCATTTGGACAGACAAGGTCTACGTGAGGTTTTGGCATAGACATTTAAATGTCAGGGGCATCTGACCTGCTTCCCCCATTCCCCTCCCAAACAAACAAACAAACAAACAAAGCCATCAACATCTTATCCCTTTAAAGAACAAAATAATGCTCGCAGCAGACATCCTTACCCCTTGGCTGATTCTCCAGTCTCAGAAGGCTCAGATCTGCAGTGGGAGTCGGAATGAGGGATGGGGGGGCCTGGTGACTTTAGGTTTCATTTGGTTGAACTAAAGTCAACTACATCTAAACACTCCCCACCTCAAAAACAGAACGAAATCTTTCTCAATACGTAAGTGCCAAGCTTCTTCTCACTCTATATGTTCAACAAATGAGCAGGATTTTGATAATGATAGTCATTTGGTTGCCTCTCCTCATGGCAGCTTGCAAGGCATTGAAGGAGGAAGTGTGCCCTGTAGAACCTGTTTACGGGGTCCAGCAAGGAGGGTAGCTACTGAAAGACCTTGGCCAGAGCATGGCCATTCTCTGTGTGGGAAGGCCATCCTACTCAGCTGAGTGCACAGCTTGAGGAGGGATGTGGAACAGGTGGTTGTGAAGGAGAGGAGCATCGTTCCAGCCAATCCAGTGCCAAGCATGTAATAGGCATTCATGAAGCATTTGTTAATGAAAGCAGCAATTTCTCCAGCCAGACCCGTAAATCTTCCCTGGTGATCAGTGCGCTGGCTGATGTAGCCAGCTCATCGCTGAGCTGCTCCTTTCTGGTGAGGTTTAAGGTGAGGGTGAGAGGTTGAGCTATAAACTGAACTGGGAAAGGGACATTGAAGACGCAGAGATGTGGTCTCGGCGCCCCACACCAGGAAGGGTAAGATGGATCAATGAAAGATAACATTCCTAAAACACCAGCTAGCTTTGGTGACGCTCCTTAGCGGGGGAGAAAGGGTACTGCCCAGCATGGTGGCAACTTCTCTGAAGTAGGGTTAGTTGCATCCCAGCCCTGACCAGTCTTCTAGAATGGAAGCCAGAGTTATCTGATGGGTTCCCTGGGGCTCCATCATCTTCTTCCCCTGACCATTCTTCATCAGAAATTTTCTCCCAAGTGTCCAGAGAGAATTTTTCTTCCTATCAGCTTTTCTTCTATTCCAGTCATTATGGGAAGTCCCACAACCCTGAGCACATTCCATACATATTTTCTCACTGGAATTCCCAGGAAGCCCTGTAGCATCAGCAGTTTTTTGGTAGCAGAATAAATAGATGACAAGTGTAAAAAGTACCTATTCTGTGACTAAAAAGCACATTTCCTCTGAGAAAGATGAGATCCTTCACAGCATATATGTACTGTTAATCTTTGCGGAATCCTTATAAATCAGGTGAAAGGTTTTAAAAAAGATGAACTCTGGAAAGAAAACATCAAAAATTGGGTGATCTTTGTATTCTTTACAGTCGAAGAAGCTTGAAAGCCTGTGCTATGATAAGCTGAGGGTTTTCATTATTAACACAGTTAAGGGTTCCCAAGTAAATCCTCAATTATAGTATCTTGCTTCCTCTACCTGACTGTTCCTTTCTGGTAGTTGCAGAGTTGCAGAGGCAGTGGGGGGGGGGGGGATGAAAAATTCCAGGGTTTGGAATCAGACAAGCCTAGGCTCAAATCACAGCCCTGTCACCTACCTACGAGCTATGAAATCATAGCCTGTTATTTAACCTCTGTGAACCTCAGCTTACTCGTAAAGTGAGGATCATTATACAAATGTGTATAAATTATCTAACATAGTCCCTGGAATATTGTAAATGCACAAGAAATGTTAACTCTCTTTTCCATTATGCCTCCAAACATGTTACACACACACACACACACACACACGTGGATATATCCATATATGTGACAAAATATTTTACGTTGTTCAGTAAGTAACTATGTGAGGATCTGAGGACACAAAAACATGCATTACAGAGTCTTTTCCCAAAGAGCTCAGATTCTGATGGGGAACATGAAGTCCAAAATGATAGGGGTCATCAAAGAAGTAGCCTCGGATGAAGGAACAGAGGCAGGGCTGGGTGTGAAGGAGATCTGGGAAGTTCCTCAGGGTATGCAGCCTATGAAAAGGAAGAGAACATATTTTAGGAAAAGGGAAGACTATGCAAGATGATCATAAAAGCTGTGGCGCAAGGGCAAGAGATGAAGTTAGTGAGATGGGGAGGGTACAGATCTCAAAGGGGGTGGTGAACTTATTCATGAACATTATGGAGTGTCAGCAAACAAGTTCAGGCAGGGGAGGGACATCATGAGATTTGCATTTTAGAAAGCCCCCATTGGGAGCTGTGTTAAAGATGAACTGGAAGGGAGGCAGACACAGAGTAGGGAGAACTATCTGAAATTGATAGTAGGAACCCAGGTAAGACAAGATGAAGGCCTGAATTAAGGCAGTGCACATGAGGGCTGAGAGAAGGGCGGGAATTCAGTGTTAGGAGGTGTCATCTTCAGGAGTTAGACACTGATTAGATATATGTGGAGGGTGCATGAGCAGAAGTGGAGAATCAAAGATGAATATCAAATTTCTAGCATGGGTGGATATAGGAGAAAGGCCTGAATGGGGAATTTAGTTCAATTTTGAATAAGCTGGGCTGGAATTGAGTTTGGAGTATGTGTGAATTATCCAAAGAGATCTACCCAACAGACATCGGGACTTCCAAGTGAGATCTTTGCCAGAGTTGTGGATTAGAAGGCATCAACTTATAGCCAATAATGGTGCCCAACAATGGACTCCTGAGATATATCACTGTTGATCAGGGGAGTGCAGAAGAGGAGCCTGTGAAGGAGAATGAAAGGAGTAGCCAAGAGGTAGGACAAAAACCAGGGTTTGGTGGTATCATAGAAATCAAAAGCAGAGAAGGTATCAAGAAGGAAGGGAAAGCCACAGACCCAACTACTGCAAAGAGGTCAATTAAAATAAGAATCGGAAAATATCCATTGGATTTCACACTGTTGGGCAATTGCAGGCAAGTAATGAAAAAGTCAGACCACAGTGAGGAAGTGGACACAGCAAATACAGATTATGCTTTCAAGAGCTTTGAGGTAAAGACAAGAGAGAAAATAACAAGTGGCGAGAGGTGTCAGTCAAGTTTTACTTTGTTCTGTTTTGTTTTGGAGGTGGTAGGGACTTGAGCACATTTACATTCTGGAGGGGAAAGAGGCAGTGGTGAGGACGAAGGGGAAGATTAGAAGAGGGTAGACCAGCAGTCCAACACCTTGCATCAACATAGACCACCTCCTGTCTGGAATGCTCTTCCATGTCATCTTTCTCTGATCAACATCTATGAATCCTTCACCTCCCAACTTAACCGCCACCTTCTCAGTGACTTACCTTGTTCTCTTAGTCATTACACTTGTCTAACATCCATTAGCACTGCCAGACTGTACATTCTGAGCAGGCAAAGACTGAGTGTCTCATTCCCAGCACAGTACAGTACCTGGCACATAGAGATGCTCAAGGACTTAATGGAGTCACAGCATAATCATACTCCTCATAAGGACCTGCTCTGTGTATTAATAAAGTCCAGATCAGATATAATGTGCTAGCAATTCTCACTTCTCCAGTGGTTTTCCACCACCCCTATGTGGCAATTTCAGGTTGGGTTCGTTTAGGACTACCTAATAAAACTGTGGAGCCTGTGGTTCAAATGAAGGCAGAAAAATTATGAGGAATTTCCCTGAGGGAATGGACCTTGCATCTTCTTCTCCATCTTACTTCCTTATCTATGACTACACCAAGGTAGGGGCTAGGGATACCTTCGTCTTTTTACCTCACCCTCAGAGCCCAGACATAAATGTCTTATTCTAGAGAATTCACTGTGATTAATTAATAGGCAAGACTGTACGGCTTCCTGGGGACTGGATTAGTTGTAATTGTATGGTGTTTATTACTACTCCCCAACTTCTTTTTGGGAAGGATATACTTAGAGAGCGAGCCTTCAAAGGAGACATGTGCCCCTACCACACTGAAGTTTCTGGAGAGACCATAGAATTTAACTATGCTACCCCAGTACCTCCAACAAAGTCTCCGGCACATAGTAGTCAACAAATGCTTGATGAAAGAATGAGCAAGCTTGAGTCTTCAAATGAAACAGGATGCTATCAGGCATCACTCATTCTGGGATGTACTCGTATCAGGTTCCTTAACCCTACTTTTATTGCTTGGCAGGAGCCAACTCTCTCACGTGGCCACACTTGGCACAGTCAGTTGCCAAAGTTTTGGTGGGGGTGGGGGAGGAGTTGGTAGCCCCCCTTGTTATCCTGTATCTTTCTTCCACTGAAGTCAGTATTTATGAGGTGATATCAAAAAGGAATGCTCCTCATGGCGTGTTTGGCTGTGGGTGGAAGCGCATTATAAACTAAACCTCGTGATGAAGTGTTCTCATTACATTTTTGGCTCTGTCTTGTAGACCTTGTACTTTGAGCATTGGGCACTTACTCGGATTGATTCAAAATGCCAAACCTTAATGGTTTTGAATGTCACTAATTCTAATCCAGATATGGGTGAGAGGCAGATGGTGGGAAACGGTGATCGTGGGATCTAGAGCAAACACTGACCTCCCAGGAGAGGTAATTTAGAAGCACTGGAGCTGAGAGTTGCTAGCTGTTGGCCAATTCGGCACTGTGAATCCTTTGATGGCAGATTGCTCCAAACAGAGCAGCCTCCTCCCCATTAAGATAGTCAAGCCCTCTGGCAGTCCTTTCGTGCTGAAGGTTAGAGTCTCAGTGGCAAAAAAAAGCCAAGTACCAGATTTCTTTCCCCCTTCTATGTGCCAGCCCCATCTCCTCATGATCACACCATCATCTAACAATGGTGAGACTGAGGTGGACTCTCACCTTCCAATTCTCTGCCACCCATGACTGGGAAGGGAAGTCAGAGTATCCTAATAAGTAGTCATTAGACTCCCAGTGGATTGTCACCCAGTAGTGGAGACAGAGGGACCAGAGATTTAAGGGAGAGTCTTGGCCTGTGGAAGAACATGGCCAAGCGTGTGGCCCCTGGGTGGGGAATCGGTTGGTCCAGCCCTATTTTCTGTCCCATCTCTTGAAAGAAAGTTGCCTATGATTTTTCCTAATGTTCTCACTAGCATTCCAACTAATATTTATTTCTTGCTGACTCAACAAATGCACTGGGCACTCTGTTAAATACTTTATTGTGCATTATCTCATCACACCTCTAGAAATTATCCCCATTTGATCAATGAGGAAACTGATCATTATTGAGGATAAGTAACTTGTCTAATGTCGGTAACAGTAAGTTAAAGAGCCAGAATGTGAACCCAGCTCTCTTGGAGATGGTAGTCAATCACTACCCTGTGTCTGAGTAGTGTGAAGTGTCAAAGCCAGGACTTCTACCCACCGTTCCCTACGGCTCCATTCTCTTTCAGCATCTCCATCTATACCTTCTCCTTATCCACATGCCTTCAGATCTATTCAGATAAGAGCTGGGAGAATTATCGTAGTCAAGCAGGGCCTTGGAGAAAGGGGTCAGGTAGGATATGGAGAGAGGGGGTGATAAAGAATTAAAAGTCTAGCTTTATCATTGCCCACCCTTTCAAAAACAAAAACCAAATCTAGGCTGGAGAATATAAATGAGACCAGAGAAAATCCAGGCCACAAACCCCTGTAGCAATTTGTGAGTCCTGAGAGCTGCCAGCCTAATGTTCAGTGATGATCTTTACTCTGTGCAACATGATGGCAGCCACCCCTAGGTTCCTGTGGGTGTCATTTACTCATGCAATTAATTCATTCATCAGTTTCCATTGATGACCCATGGACCAAGTGCTGGACAAGATAAAAAGATGCGTAAGACATAGGCCCTGTCCTTCAGGAGTTCACAATGCAGGAGTTGGACAAATGTTCAGATTCTTTCTTGACTTCCAACAGAGAGACGTTCTTCAAGGTGCAAGATGCATCAGCAATGCCAAAAACAGAATTCTTGCAGCAGAGGTTGGTAGAAATGACCTCTAAAGCTGTTTACATCTCTAAGAGTCTATAATCCCATGAATCCTATAACTTCACCTTTGAAGAAGAAATTGCTTATGTCATTACAATTTTCCAATAAAAGCACAGCTACTATTAGCATCCGATTTTTTGGAAGAGCCCTGGTTTCAAATACCCTGTCATAAATACATGTAGTTGGAAGACTACATTTAGTAGTTGGTGTCTCTCTAAGCGTGTGTCTTTTTGCATGGACAGTCTGTAAAGCCGGTCCTTTGACTAGTGACTCGGCGCTGCTTCCTGGAATCTGGGGTGTTTGCAGTCCAGTCCCTTTGCCTCCCTGTGCACGTGGCGGGGAACCACTTTGGGGCAGCGTGTGCGTGCTCTGCATGTCTGCGTGGCTGATGGTGCTTCCCCACGGGCTGCAGCTGCCTCGCAGTCATGTGCTTCAGGCTGCCTTTATATAGTATCCTCTGCCCATGTGGTTGCAGTCAGTCCGATTCCATTAAGATCAGCCACAGTTGTCACGCACATGTGCGGGGCACTGCAAGGGACATGGAAACAAATGACACTATGAGGTATACTCAAGTAACTGTGATGAAACCAAGGAGATGGTTAAAAGGGAACAAAAGAGGTCTACACCAAGGGGTGTGTGAGAAGAGGATCCGGGAGGGCTGTGCCCGGAGGCAGGTAGGATGACCCTGGGTAAGAGGCGGGTCATCTGAGCTGCGTCAGAAGGGCCCGGAGGATTAGGGTGCAGAGAGTGTGCCGGATGGAGGCAAATGTGAGAGCAACACAGGAAAGGAGCTCAAGGAGGGGGCCCAGGGGAGACCCATCTGGACAATCAGGAAGGGCTGGAGCTGCTCACTGTGGGTGCTGTCGTGTAAGGACAGCGCGCTGTGGGAGGGTGCGCACGCGCACGTGTTGTGCGCGCTGTGGGAGGGTGCGCACGCGCACGTGTTGTGCGCGCTGTGGGAGGGTGCGCACGCGCACGTGTTGTGCGCGCTGTGGGAGGGTGCGCACGCGCCCGTAAGAAGCCGCAGTGGGAATAACTCCGTTAAAAATTCAGGACCGGCTACAGAGTTGAGAACGAGGGCTGAATTATAGATCTCTTTTCTGAGGCTAGAAGATTAAAGGAGAGGTTTTCTTTTTTGTTTTTTCTTCGCGGCTGTTGGTTTTAAGTAGGTCATTGGAACCCCAGTGGTTGGAACTTGCTGGGTGAAGGCAGCGAGGCTGGAAAAGCACCATCCTGGACTTGACTTCTCCCCACCGCTGCCCCCTTTTCCTGCCCACATGTGATTTAAAGGGCCCACTGCTCTTTGGCCCCGTGGTTTTTACCTGTATTTGCCTGTCACAGTAAATCCCGCACGGGTTTATCGTTGATTCGTGCAGGTAAGTTGGAGACTGATTATCTTCTTTATTGTTCTCCTTTTCATTGCAGAGCCCACATTTCCTTCCAGGATCTGCTCATCAACATCTTTACTCTATTTTCTATTGGTCCTCCCCTGCATTCTGTTGATTCTTCTGTCCATTTCCCTCCTCTGCTGGTACCACAAGGCCAGGAAGTTGTCAGCCCTGAGTCTAACAGCACAGAACGAAAAGGCTCTCTGGGTGAACTTGAAAGGGGCTGGTGACTGGACAACAAACCGGAGGGAAGAGGAAGAGGAAGACCATTGAATCCGGAGAGCTTCCAGCAGCTTGGGGAAAGTGCGGGCTTTGGAATCAGACTGAGCGGCATGTGAATGTGAATGAATCCTGATCCCATCCTTCCTGGAGTCTGTGGCCTTAGGCAAGTTACCTAGGAATCAGAGGGAGTATTTATTGAGCGCCTATGTGGGGCCCCACACTGCTAAGTGTTTCTTCGTTGTATTACCCTCATCTACCCCTTGCAACTTCCCAGGAGCTAGATGATTTACCCTGTTTTTCACTGGCTGTACCTCACAGAGGTTCAGGGTCCCTGTCTGTAAGGAGAGAACCTCCCTCACACAGTGTCTTGGGTATTCGGTGAGATCGGATGGCGAAGCCCAGGGTGAGAATGCCCTCTACTCTCTCCTCCCTTATGTCACTGACTCCCGGGAGAGCACTCAGAGTGGTCCAGTCACACTGGCTCTAGCTTCATCTTTTGCTCCCAGATAAGAGGTGTAGGAAGGGGCCTGATGTCAGCAAGGCAAAAAGATGTTGGGGATATGCTCTTCGTTCACATCCGATCTGCTTCCCAACGTGAGCATGACTTCCTTCAAAGTAGAAATCCCATCTGTCCCTCATCCCATCTATAAATGCTACTCAAGAACAAGCTCTGCGAAGAGGGTACCTGATCCGTTTTGGCCCTTTGATGAAATTGTAAAGCATTTTGTAGTCTGAGTTTCTTTCTTTTTTCTTTACCTTTACGTTTCCCTTTTCCTTCCTTCCTTCCTTTTTTCCTTTCTCTTTCTTTTCTCTATTAGCATTAGGTCATTGCTTAAGGGAGAACTTTTTTTTTTTTTTTTTAACAACAGTGCTCTAATCAGCCTCCAAGGCCTCATACCTCCCCTTCCTCCCCACTCCAAAAGATCCATCTGGGTCCTGGCTCTGAGCCAATGCTTTATTTTCTTTGACCTGACAGCATTAGGTAGTAGCACAGGGCATTGTGGTGGTTCTTTGGGGAAGGAGGAGGAACAGAGCCCCTGTCCTGTCTTCCCCCAGCAGGGGCTAGGAGCTCAGGGGAAGCAGCGGGTCAAGTCTGGTTCCTCAGGGTCCCCTGTTCTCATCCAGGAACGGTTGGGGGAGGGGGATGGTTGGGGAGTGTCATGGCTTAAGGCTTTCAACAACTGTCCCCCAGGGTATAACAGGTATTCCCACTGGGCCTGAGGCCTCCTCATCTTTGTTTCAAAAGCTGCTTGGGCCCTGTTGTAGCTAGAATTGGAAATCAATCAGTACCACCTAACAGACTTGAGAAGATGCATCTATTTGTTATCTGTGTGACCAACAGGGTTGCTTTAGCACTGGCTAATTTGCATTTCCAAGGAGAGCAATTTATTTTTAATTATTTTATCAAGCACACACGTCTCTCCAAACATAATTAGTTCCTTTGCAGGGGGAGCATCGGTGGCTATGAGAACTCCCAGTGTAGAGCTATAGGTCCCTTCCGCTCATCTCCCTTTATAGGCTCATTTAAAATATCCCAAGTGTTTCCTTAAATGTGTCAACATATTAGTCTCTTCTCAGGTAGGGTGGCATATTTTTCAGAAAACAAAGCTAAAGGTAAGACTTGTTAGAAAGTATGATGTCCCCTGCCTTCCCTCCCCCCCCCAAACCTGTATTTTAATTAGGATTTTAAAGGGAAAGGGAGCAGAATCGAGCCCCGTCAGATAATCAGAGTGGATTCTGGTGCTGCCCCCTGCCTGGGGTCCTCTTTCCCCTGACCCCGTCCCTCTCTCCTCACCTGGGTCTGGCCCTTTTGGCTCAGAGCTCGCCGGCCACTTCTTCCTGTTTGAATCCGGCCCAGACATGGCACAGAGCAGACACTGAAATGTCCAAGTGCGTCGCCCAGAGCCGAGCTTGGGAACGATTAGATTACTCCCCAGGGAACACCTCGTGCCCAGCCCCGGGATTGGTGTGAGGGATCCAGTGGGGACCCAGCCGGATGCAGTTCCATTCCCCTGGGGTCATCAGCTTGTCCCTTCTGGCTGCTGGGCTCCTCAGCACACCAGGCATCCTAAGAAGCCGTTTTGTGCTATTTGGCCCGTCGTGAATTTTTAGGCAGCTAAACCCCAAAGTCGTCTTTTCTCGTTTCTGAACTGAATAAAATTTGTGTTCACCCAAGTCGGTCGATGTTTCCCGTGAAACCTCTTCTCTTTCCAATGCTGTGCTTGTCCCGTTTTACTCTCTAACACTTAGTGGAGAACTTCACTTTTATTAACCGATTTAAACTTTTCCATTCTCTGTCAGCACCTGGTTTTCCTTTCAGCGTCTTGGGTTTTCAGTCCTCCTTGGCAACTGAACAAACCTGTCTCGGGAGTTGGCTACCTATGGCCCACAGGCCAAGCACAGCCCACCACCCGTTTTTTAAAATATGAATTGTTGGAAAACAGCCATTCCGTTTGCCTGCATATTACCTCAGGCTGCTGTCTTCATAAAACAGCAGAGGTGAGTAGTTGCCATGGAGAATGTGTGCCTAAAATGTTTACTATCTGGCCCTTTACAGAAAAAGGTTTCCAACCCTGCTCTGTTTTAGTGGCTAATGTTCTGTCTTAACCATGCACTGCGTTCCTGGGACCCTTGACCTATTGTATTGGTATCTCTTATATACCTGATTAATTGAAGAATAATCTGAGGCTCTCCAGTTTGGGGTCTGGTCCAAGCCATTGCGAAGTTTGAATCCTCTGCTGCACTCTTCCTAGAGATGGAAAATTCAGCACCCTGGAGGTACTCCTGCTCAGTGCAGGACGAGATGACGTGGAGGTGTATGAGGCATGAATAGGCTGTTTTCGTTCTTTTTAGTCTAGGAAGACATGTATGGGGAACAGCTGATATACGGCAGAACAAGAAAGTAGAAAGTCAAGTGCCATAATTCTATCTTATGATTGCACAGAAGTTGTTCATCATCTCAGAGTTTCAGTGCACCCCCATGTAAAAGGGATTGTTATTCCTGTCCTGCAGGAAAGACAGGGACGCTTAGAGGGGTTGGGTTGCTCCAGGATCACCTAGCCACATGTAGAAGAGCAAGAGCTCCAATTTAGGTCTGCTGGCAACCAATCCTAGGCTCTTCCCATGGTAGACACTGTGCTCAAAGTCACAGCAATGGGGAACATCTAGTGATGATAATATCCACCTCACATGGTTATGAGCATGGAATCAGATGCTTATATGGGGTAAGTTTTAAACCGTTTCAAGTCATAAGTGAATGTGGGCATAACCAAGTTTTTTTTCAGGCCTCATCTGTCTGTGCACATAAATGAAATTAAATCAACAATAATAAAATTCTATAGACTTTCGCCCCCCAAGCTACTTACATGGGGTCTTGGCCATCTGTAAAGCGTTCTTCAAGTACTTCTGGGGATTCTATAGGATTCTGGGAGTTCACATGAACTTATGAACTAGTCCCCTCCCACATGGTTTCCTGCTACTCCGTTCGGCTCTACGGGCTCCCACTGCAGCCAGGATGCTGGAGCATATAACGTATCAACGCCGGACAGTGTTCATTGGTAAGCAAGGAAAAACACCTCTTATTTTGTCCTGATGTCACACTCTGGATTGCAAATGAATCCAAAATTGCCTGTGCCCCCATGTCTCCAAAGATTGTGAAAACAGGCCCTTTAACTTTTGCCCAGTACCTCCTTGCTCCACAGGGTCCAGACACCAGCGAGTCTGGGCCCAGTCTGGGAGAGAGACGTCATGCTGTTTTTCATTTCCCATGCTCAACCCCTGGGAACCTGTTAGTACATCTTCATCTCAGACCCCCTGTCTCCCCTGCAGTTGAGTCATGCAAATTTTACTTCTGGGGAGTCCGCCCACTCATCAGACAGGTCCAGGGAAGTTTACATTCCCCGTAGGCTCAGCTGGGACTTCTGTTATGTTGGCTATTAATTTTTACCCCTAATGTAGTAAAGTGCTATGGCAATTGAGAAATCAGAGACAGCTTCACAAAGGAGATGTCATCTGAACTAGGCTTCAAAGTCAGGAAATATTTTGACAGGAGAAGTTGGGATAAACAGTAATCTGTGGGGAGAGATAGCTCCATGAAAACTGTGTAGAATAGCTTTGGTTTGATTTAAGTGTCAGAATTATGGAGCAATGAGAGAGATTAAATATGGAAAGATTAGAGTGAGGAGGGACAAGAGAACAGATCTTGAACATGCACAAAAACTTTGACTTTATTTGATGGACAATGGTGAGCCATTGAATGTTATTTAGCAGGGAAGGAGCAGCTCTCCTTTAGGAGAATTGAAAAACCAGCAACATAGATGATGGGTAGGGGTTGAGTGAGGGCTGGGGCAGTATCAAGGCAAAGCAGGGCAGCCAACCTCAGGAAATAACCTCCATTTTCCTAATGTGTGTAACAAGGATAAAACCAATTTTGTGAGGTTTGAGGACTGAACCGAATTATCAGGAAGTTTCAAGTATTACATTAAGCTCATAGAGGTAACTAATGTATATTTGTTAAGTACAATGACAACATGTTATGAGATTCTTCTTCTGTTTAATAAATATTTGTTATCCTAATTTTCTATTGGTAATTGTAGAGGTAAGAGAGTTATATCTTTTCACTTAGCTGGCTTTCCGTTTGACTTATCTTTAAAAAAATTTTTTATTTATTTATTTGAGAGAGAGTGTGTGAGAGCAGGAGAGAGGGAGAGAGAACACAAGCAGGGGGAGGGGTAGAAGGAGAGGGAGAAGCCGACTCCCTGCTGAGCAGGGAGCCCCATGCGGGGCTCGCATGGGGCTTGATCCCAGGACCCTGAGATCATGACCTGAACCTAAGGCAGATGCTTAACCGACTGAGCCACCCAGGCGCCCCTGCCTTATCTTTTTTTTTTTTTAAGGTTTTATTTTTAAGGTATCTCTATACTCAGTGTGGGGCTTGAACTCACAACCCCAAGATCAAGAGTCACATGCTCCTTTGACTGACCAGCCAGGCGCCCTTACCTTATCTTTTTGATGCTTGCTTTTATGTTTAATTTACTTGTTAGATATTTGGAGTTTCTACCTTGTCATCTTTAAATCCAAGGCTCCTTTTGGATCAGTTCTGACTTTCAAACAGAGATATTTTGACTAGAAACATAATTATCACATTAAACCATTTGCTGAGATGGAAGACCACTTTGGATAGGAGGTATGAATAAGTTCATATGTCATAAGTTAACCAGTAAATGAAAACCGAAATTCATTATGCTTTTAAGGTCACAATGGTACAGGGTGTTGAAAACGTGTGCTTCCATTTTATATGGAGCGATAGTCCACTTTCGTGGATTGAAAGTCTCAGTACTGTTAAGATATCCATTTTCTGCAAATTGTTCTATAGAGTTGATGCAGTGGTTATCAGTGGGGGAGGGAGGGCATGGCAGTTGTGCTCTCCAAAGGACACTGGGCAATTTATGGACACATGTTTTGTGTGGCACAGCCTGAGGTAGGGGGTTGCTACTGGCACCTGGTGGGTAGAGTCCAGGGATGCTGCTAACCATCCTCCAGTGCACAGGACAGACACCTGTCCCCACAGCAAAGAATTGCCTGGCCAGAAATTTCAATAGTGTTGAGGATAAGAAACCCTGATTTAATGGAATCCTAATAAAAATCCCTGGTAATTTTAGTTGCGGAGAAAGGGGAACCCTCCTCCACTGTTGGTGGGAATGCAAGCTGGTGCAGCCACTCTGGAAAACAGTATGGAGGTTCCTCAAAAAGTTGAAAATAGAGCTACCCTATGATCCAGCAATTGCACTATTGGGTATTTACCCCAAAGATACAAATGTAGGGATCCAAAGGGATATGTGCACCCCAATGTTTATAGCAGCAATGTCCACAATAGCCAAACTGGAAAGAGCCGAGATGTCCATCAACAGATGAATGGATAAAGAAGATTTGGTAGATATATACAATGGAATATTATGCAGCCATCAAAAAGAATGAATTTTTGCCATTTGCAGTGACGTGGATGGAACTGGAGGGTATTATGCTGAGCGAAATAAGTCAATCAGAGAAAGACATGTATCACATGACCTCACTGATATGAGGAATTCTTAATCTCAGGAAACAAACTGAGGGTTGCTGGAGTGGTGGGGGGTGGGAGGGATGGGGTGGCTGGGTGATAGACATTGGGGAGGGTATGTGCTATGGTGAGCACTGTGAATTGTGCAAGACTGTTGAATCATAGATCTGTACCTCTGAAGCAAATAATACATTATATGTTAAAAAAAAAAAAAAGAAGATAGCAGGAGGGGAAGAATGAAGGGGGGGGGAAATTGGAGGGGGAGACGAACCATGAGAGACTATGGACTCTGAAAAACAAACTGAGAGTTCTAGAGGGAAGGGGTGTGGGAGGTTGGGTTAGCCTGGTGATGGGTATTAAGGAGGGCATATACTGCATGGAGCACTGGGTGTTATGCACAAACAATGAATCATGGAACACTACATCAAAAACTAATGATGTAATGTATAGTGATTAACATAACATAATAAAAAAAATCCCAGGTAATTTTAGAAATTGTCTAGCTCACTCTAATAAATAAAAATACAAATAATCTAGGTTAGAAAATATTTAAAAAGAAAAAGTTGGAGGAATTACACTCTCAAGTTCCAGGACCGTCTATGAAGCTGTAATAATTAAAACAGTGTGTTATAGGGGCACCTGGCTGGCTCAGTCAGTGGAGCATGTGACTCCTAATCTCAGGGTGGTGAGTATGAGCCCCATGTTGGGAGATTACTTTAAAAATAAATAAATAAAATGTGATGGAATTAAAAAAAAAAAACCAGTGTGCTATAGGTACAAGTATAAACAAGGAAACCAGTGGAAGAGAATAGAGTCCAGAAATACACCTATATATGTACATTTACCTAATTTCCATTCTAGGTACCATTGCAGTGGGGAAATCCTTCTAATAAATGGTACTGATACAATTGGATAATTATATGAAAAAAATGAACCTTGACATCTACCTCACATTTTATACTACAAAAGAAAAAAATTAACTGGACATCACTAAAATAAAACCTTTGTTCATCAAAGACATCATTAATTAAGTGATTACACGAGCCATGGATGGGGGGTAGATAGTCATAAAACATATCTAACAAAGACTTGCATCCAGAATATATACAGAACTCCTATAAATCCATTTTTTTCAGAAAGGGGAGGAGCCTGAAACTCAATTTAAAAATAGGCAAAAGACTTGAACAATTGAACTTGAACTTGAATAATTCTCTCTTACAAAAGAGAATTATTGGAATAGTCAGTAATCATATATAGTTCAGGCTTCAGGAAGCATATGCCAAGATGGGATGAGATGTGCAAGGGGTCTACTGAGGGAAATGCCTATGAAGGAAGAGGGGGTGGGGCAGGAGAAGGTAAGGAGAGCTAGGGACAGGGGTGCAGGTTTGACATCTATAAAAGGAAACAGGGAAGGAAGAAGGATTATGGAGGAAGAACTTTAGACTCAGTGTAATTTTGAGATCATCTGGACCAAGCTGATGGGAGTCTCTTGAGCAAAGGTTGGCTGTTGGAGGAGTGCCCCCCTGGGCAGAAATGGCCTAGCTCTAGTATCCTTGCCATGCTTAGTCTTTGACTGGAAGCAGCCCTGGGAAAATGCGGCATCAGCATGAGCATGGTGACAGATATGAAGGTCTAGCTGCTGGAAGCTGTCAGTCAGCTATGTTTGCTGCAGAAGGTTCTCCTAAAGGGAGATTTGAGTAGTGCACGTCCATGGCCACAGCATCTGAAAAGATGCTCAACATCATCATTCATCAGCAAACTGCAGATTAAGACACCAATGAGATACCTCTATCATCAAGATAATTAAAATGTAAAAGACAATATCAAATACCCAACACAGGTAAAAATTTAGAGTTACCAGAACTTAACATGTTGCTGGTGGCAGTGTAAATCTGTTCAACTATTTTGTAAAACAGTTCGGTAGTTTTTGATAAAGTCAAACATATACCAGCCTTATGACCTAGCAATTCTGCTCCTTGCATTCCCCAAGAGAAATGAATACCTATATCCACCAAAAGACATATCTAAGAATACTTACAGCTTTATCCATCATTGCTAAAACCTGGCAACAACCCCATTGTCCATCAATAGGTGAATGGATACAGAATTTATTTATACTGTGGAATACTACACAGTAATAAAAATGAACAAACTACTGACATACATGACACCATGGATGAATAGCAGAGCAACTTTTTCAGTGAAAGAAGCCAGGCACGAAAGGATATGCACTATATGAGTCCGTTTATTTGAAGTCCAAGAATGAGCAAAATGAATCTATGGTGACCGAAGTCAGAATAATCTTTTCCCCTGGCAGAGGGAGTATTGACTAGGAAGTAGCATGAAGAACCTTCTGGGACAACTGAAATGTTTATTATCTTGAGCTAGATAGTGGTTTCATGGGTGTATACCTATGTAAAAATTTACTAAGCTACTTTCTTCAGATTGAGCAATTTATGTAAATAACATACAACTTATATATATAATAATATATAACTTAAATAACTTACTGTGTGTAAGTAACTACAACATCTCTCTTTCAAAAAGTGGGACACCTGGGTGGCTCAGTCGGTGAAGTGTCTGCCTTTGGCTCAGGTCATGATCCCAGGGACCTGAGATGGAGTATCGAATCGGGCTCCTTGCTCAGCAGGGACTCTGCTTCTCTCTTGGCCTGCTGCTTCCCCTGCTCCCTCTCTCTCTCTCTCTCTCTCTCTCTCTCTCTCTGACAAATAAAATCTTTTAAAAAAAGTATTTGAGAACCAACTAGATGACCAATGCAGAGTGAGGGATTTTAATATGGAGGGACATAAGATTTATTTATTCCACAAACATTTTCTGATATTCCGCATATGCCAAGACGTACGCTAGGAGCTAGGGATGCAGAAACAATGGACATCATCCACTCTCTCTAAGAGGAAATGAGAAAGGAGTTGATGTTCACTATATTGAGCAGCCATCACGAGTCATAAGGACTGGATCTTTATGACGAACTTGTGAAGCTGAGATTAAACCATAAACCAGGAAAAAGCAGTTAAGTATCATGCCTTAAGGATGAGCGGCAGAGCTAGCATTTAAACTCAGGTGCATTAACTCCAAAAGCAACAGTCTCCCTATCACAGTATGCTCCCTCTAGTTTTAAAGACTCTACCATCGCATTTTGAGCAAAGGTCTGTACACACAAGGTAGAACAGGAGGACCATTGGGACAGAAAAAATATAGGTGCTTGCTTTGTCACATGCTAAGTGCCAATTTGCTCTAAAAAGGGGAAATGAATTTGGACTAGAAAATGGGATCCTTTTGCACTCTGCCCTGGTTCCCACAGATGTTCATTTAACCCAATGCATGTTTTTGTTATGGGCTCCCATGAATGAAGGCAAATGCTGCAAGTTCTAGAGTCTGTCTTTAGGGAATCTTTGTATTGTTTAAAGGTCTGATGGCAGCTATTTGTACCACCCTGCTGGTGGCAGAAAATTCTTTGAAGATCTTCCGTTCCCAAACCCAAGATGGGACCAGCCCAATA